CACATACCTCTCGGGTAAACCGAAACTATTAGAGCATAATTTAGGGTGTTACATTCAATATTCATATGTAGTCTCACATTAATCTAAATTAAAGAGGATCAAATTACCTAAATACAACTATGACGGGGAAAAACGGGCAGCAGAGGAATAAAACCAAACTATTTACAGCTAAAAAGATTCAATTCCATCAATGAAAATTTTCAGCATGGAAATGTAAATGAGATTCATCTTCAAAAGGCAAAAGGCAATACCCAAAGATTAAATTTGAATCTGAGTCTTCTACATGATAGGCAGATATCAAAATGATATACATAATCTTTTGTCGTTCATTCTGAGTTGAAGAACTGAGTAGAAACCGGGGGGGAGGTTATCAACCAATCAACAACAATGAAGAGAATCAAAGAATGATCTCAAGCTAGGAAACAACTTGAGGTTGACAAACTATGGTCTATAAAATTGTGAATAAGCTCAACAAAAATCATAATATAACATCAAGACTGTATCATAACACAACATATTTTCCAAATTTGAAAACATATATTTCCTATTGAATTTTTCTTCGACGATAAAGTGGAAGCATGCTCATCCAGACAGGAATTGATCGAAACCCAGACTCGTTAAGAAGCTACATTCTGGTCTGGAGAAAACAAAAGGAAAGGCACCAAAGGATGAGATGATCGCATAAGAATACCTCCATCAAATTATGCTTCTCCTGATCGGTCATTATTTGTCTAATGGTTTCAGGCTTGATCATGTGGTCTTTTGGGTTTATTTTTTTCCTCTGCAAAGGTAAAACATTACTATTTGTTTCGCCTTCCATTGGTGCAGCTTCTGTGGAATTCACAGGATCAACATTTATTGTTACAGGAAGCTTCTTTTCTACAGCTCTCCATCTTGCTTCAAAATATTTACTTAGTGTCTTGGCCATGAAGTTGACATCATTTCCAGGTGGCTTATACGTCATCTCAGTATAAATCCGTCTAGAACTCCCAAAGCCTCTGATTCACCCATGGTTTCAACCGCATGCTGTAGTCGTGGCTAAAACTAGAAGAAATCCCTCCCTTAGAATACTTCTTAGGCTTCCCCATCAATTAATCTTATTAAAACACAGAATCAAAATGTAAGATTTTGATAGGGTAGCAAAGGCACTCTATGCGTTTGTTATAAAGCTCCAGTTGCAGCAAAAGTTAACTGCATGTAAGAATTCTAATTCCTCGAGAAGTTCCATAACGGGCAGTTCATCAGTCCTTCAAAAGCAACCATACGCCAATCTCAAAACCTAAAATCTTTAGGGGGTGTTTGGATAGAGAATGTGGGATTCATATGGGAATGAAATTTACATTCTCCGTTTGGTTAGTCCGGGAATCTCATTTCTGGTAATGTAAGATTACCAATAGTGGATTTTTTTGAGTATATTACCGGAAATGTCATTACCTCTATTTTTTTTAGGTATTGTTAGATTCCCAGCGTTTTAGACTAAAATGCCCTTAATTTTTTTTAAATATCATTTTTCTGTCATTGAATAATAAAAATTCTACGGATGTTAAATTACAAATTTATCCTTAAACTATTTTAGATTTACAAAAAAAAGTCTAATTAAAATTTATATGAAGTTCAGGGGTTAAAATAAAATTTTACCCTTTCATTAAACCTTTTTATATTTTTAATTTTGTAAAAAAAATAAATAAATTTATGAATTTAAATTTTTTAAAGAATATAATATTTTTCAACTTGTTAAAAAATCAATATAATAAGGACAATGGTTAAATAACATTCCAATAATCTTTTATTATTTTAACAAATACGGTAATCTTACATTCCTGCTAACTCAACCAAACACAAAAATACAACATTCTCAGTAATCATATTCCCTGATAATCTTACACTCTCACTAATAATCTCCATTTTATGAACCAAACACACCCTTAAATAACAATTTTCCTCGCTATCAATTAAACGTTTATAAATGTTTTGTCGGGCGATACTAAACTATTGCGCGCGCATATATATATATATATATAATATTGTATTATTTACATTATATAGTCAATTAATCCATTACAATTGATAAGTGGTTCAGTTTTAATGTCGTATCTACTCTAAATTTGTTTACCCACCTTGAATTTATTTTGTTCAAAAGATAAAAAGGTCTGTTATAAATATTATTTTTGTTTGGGTTTAAAAATTTATTCATCAAGTCCGAATCAAAATAAAATAAAAAATTTATCTAATTAAAACTCAAATCCAATATGTAAACCCAAAAAATATACAATCTAGACCCAACATCATTAACTTCAATAGCAACAGTATTAGTCAACCCAACCCCCTCCAAATTCACTTTGCACTCAATACGAGAAACAAAAAAATCATTTTTACATAGATTTAATGGGGTTTATCTAGAAAAACTCTAATAACATGATAAGATTATTATCTATAAAAAAATGTAACACAATCTAAAAATCCGTAAAGAAAAAGTCTACAAACCTAAAAAAAAAATAGAGAAGAAGTAACAAAACAAACTAAAATAAATAGAGTAAATTTAAAGGAAATGCCAAACCTTTATTAAGATTTTTCGATGACGGCGAACATTTCCGACCGTAAATTATTACGGTGAGCAATTTCACGACGACGAGTGGATAAAGATTCTCTAAGACCACATAGATAAAACGATGATGAGCAACTTTCCAAAATCAGAATATTGTATTTGAATTAATTATATATCAAACATAAATTTATAAATATCAACATAATATCAAAAAAAATATATATTAAATCAAAGAATTTTTTTATGCATATTAAATCAAAGAATTAAAATTTACAATACTAAATCAACATAATCAATCACTAAATCAAATCTATATTTCAACATTAATTAATAAATACATTTCAAAATTTTAAAAAGTATATTTAAATCAATCAAAGGATTAAAATCTAATAATTCTTTTGAATAATTAATAAAAATAATAATACAAATAACAAACTATTTCTTAGTGAACCATGACATTCTTGGCGAAATCGTACTTGTTTTGTACGAGGCATCTCTAGTAAATTCTAAATATATTACAAGGTCGATATTGTTGCCTCAACCGATTGGGGAAGCAAGAGAAGAAACTCAAGCTAATATAGAGGGTTGCACCATGATATATTGTCAAGTCATATCGGATATCTAACGAAAACGAAAACAAAAACTTTATCGGCATGCAGTTGCATGCTATGATGGAGAAGAATTAATAGTATCAAATTAAAAGTAATTTATATAAATCAATTAATTTTTATTGATTTATTTTAAAATAAAATATTTTCTATTTTAATCATTAAAAAATGTGAATTTTGAAAATTCACCATATAAATATATAATTATCTTTTACGTCGATATCTTGAGAATATTTTAAAATAATATATATCTAAAAATATTCGTAAAATAATAATATTTGATATTGCATCTAGAATTATCTATAAAAGATTCTCAACATTTATAAGATTAATCATTAAAATATATGTCTAGAGTTTGAACTCTATATGCAAGTATAAGTGACTAGTATTACATTTAATCATATAGATTTATTGATTAATACTTGCGTATTACAAATCAATAATACTTATGTTTTACTCAACTACCATCTAAACTTTTTATAACACGATAAATATACCTATAAAGAATTAGAAGATTTCTTTTACCCGACCTTAGCTTTTCATCAACAACCCAATCAAGAGCCCTTTGAGGTTGTTCGGTTAGTGGAGGATGTTCAGGACTCTTAAGTCATATAAAAATGATCTTAAGTCGTCGGTATAGGTTTCACCTATGTATTTCACTCAGAAACTCATACTGAAAAAAGCTCCTAAGTCGGTCGCTCTGGCTAATACCAGCTCTACAATCTCATTAGTCTATCGCATCACCCTTTAACAAGGCGGTGATGCTCAAGGTTACCCTTAGGGGTAAGATAAAGTTGTTGCAAAGTACAAAAGGTCTCACGAAGCCATTGGTCGGCGACCAACATGTCAATGGTCTTGTAACGACAGAATCTCTCGACAAGGGACTCCTAAGGAGCTGTTGAGGTAAAAGAGGTGGTGCGAGTGTAGCGAGTGTTCTAGGGATAGCCCTAAAGATGTGCCTCAACACCTGTATGAGGTCACGAAAGAACGTTACCCACACCTTTAGCTAATTAACTAAAATTAAGCACATCCTAACTCCATTCCATTCCAACCATAAGCTCTATTAATTAATTAAAGGGTAAATTATGAGTTTAATATTTAAACTATCACTTTTGGTTCGTTTTAGTATCTAAACTTCAATTTTTCTAAAATCCTACCTCAGTTTAATTTTTGTTTTATTTTAATACTCACCGTTAAAATTTCATGGAACTTTTTCAGTGATATTTTTTATGGATAAATTATATCATTCATCACGTAACTATCTTTTCACTCCTATTTTGGTCATTAAAGTTTAAAATTTTTCAATTTAGCTACTCAACTTTCAAATTGCTTATGTTTTAATCACTCTAATTTATTTTATTAATAATATTTTGTGACATGATATTTTTTTATTATTTTATCAATATATAATTAAAATAAAAAATAAATTTATAAGTTAGGTGATTAAATTAAAAAAAAAATTCAATGACCAAAATAGGAGTGAGAAGATAGTTGAGTGATGAACGATAAATGATGTAATTTACCCATAAAAATGCCAAGTTATAATAATTTCGTTAAGTTTTTAACAAATTGTATTAAAATAAAACAAATATTAAATATTAAATATAATTTAAACAAAATAAAAATATAAGTTCTAAAACAAACCGAAACTATTTAGATATTAAACTCGATTTACCCTTAATTAAAATATGCCTCTCCAAAATCTTCTCCCAACCAAAACTCCGAATGTTTGATCATCAAAAACACGTGTACGGTTACCACACACCTCAACCTCCATTGCAAATAAACACTTTTGCATGATTTGTAAATTCTGAAGGAAAACTATTAACGCAGAACCAAAGCAGTTTCTGCTTCCTTCAGATTTATCAAAATCATCCCCCCAGCAACGCCTCCCCTCCGACGGATCAAAGTTTAGAAAAAAATCAACACTTTCCGATGTCCGACAAAGCTTACGTCACATTCTTTGCCGGCGACGGCGATTACGTGAAAGGCGTTGTAGCGTTAGCCAAGGGGTTGAGAAAGGTGAAATCCGTACACCTGTTGGTGGTGGCGGTTTTGCCCGACGTAGCCGGGGAGAACAGGCTCATACTTGAGAACCAGGGATGTATAGTGCGAGTGATCCGACCTGTTTACCCACCCGAGAATCATACCCAGTACGCCATGGCTTACTACGCCATCAATTCAAAGCTTTGTATCTGGGAATTTGTCGAGTACAGGAAGATGATATATCTGGACGGCGACATTCAGGTGTACGAAAACGACGATCACTTGTTCGATTTGCCGGACGGCCATTTCTACACGGTGATGGACTGTTTTTGTGAGACGACATGGAGACACACACCGCGATATGAGATAACTTACTGCCAACAATGCCCCGACAAGATCAAGTGGCCGGACGACAAGTGTCAAGCCCCTTCTCTTTACTTCAATGCCGGCATGTTCGTCTTTGAGCCCGGCCGTGAAACATGCGAAAACCTATTGCACACTCTCGAAATCACCCCTCCGACATCGTTTGCAGAACAGGACTTTTTGAACATGTTCTTCAAGGACATTTATAAGCCAATTCCGTTGTATTATAACCTCATTCTCGCCATGTTATGGCGACACCCGGAGAATGTAGAGCTCGAGAAAGTTAAGGTTGTCCATTACTGTGCTGCGGTAAGTATTGGACTGTATAGTATACTATCTTCTTCTTCTTCTTCTTCTTCTTCTTGATGGTGATGGTGTTTGGTGCGTGAATAAACAGGGATCAAAGCCATGAAGGTACACGGGGAAAGAAGAAAACATGCAAAGAGAAGACATCAAGATGCTGATAAAGAAATGGTGGGACGTTTACAACGACGAGTCACTCGATTACAAGAAACCAACCATTGCAGAGGGAGAAGCAGCGGTGGCAGTCTCGGATGCCGCCGGTGAAGTTAATTACGCGACCGCCCCATCCGCTGCTTAAACGTGGTCGGCTCTCTTTAAGAACAAAAAGAAAAAGAAAAAAAATAATAAGAAAAAAAGCAACCAAGAACGTTGTAAAGAATGTTCGGTCAGAAAAAGCAAAAATCCTTCATGTAATTTTTTTTGCACCAAAATGAAAATACTGAAAATTTTGTGGCCAGAATCTTGCTTCACCGTTATCTTATTTCTCTACTTGGTATTGTAATTTTCTATTGAATATATATATATATATATTGTAATCTCGTTGTAAGATTATTTGTCTTGACTAATATGTATCGTTCTGCGTCGCATATCCAACTTAGGTGGATGAGTTTTTCAATAGTGAATTTTGGCATCCACAAAGATTTTAACTCGAAACTTTACGTAACGATATTAAGATATTTACCGTTTTAATCAACCCCTATTAATATTTTTTATTGATCATATGATAATACTATAATTACATTATATATGTATATATATATATATATATATAACTAATAATTTATATAAAAATTGTATAATATATAAACATAAGAAAGATCCACTCGTAACTAAATCTCTTAGTAGAATAGAATATATTATTATATGTGCATTGTTAAGGGATGGTGTGCTCCAAGTATTTGTTAACTAGGATTCTTTTTATAATTTTAGAGGTTAAAAAGATGGGTAAAGTACACAGATGATCACTTAACTATAAGGTATTATTTTATTAAGTCATTTGAGTATTAAAAGTTATAAAATGGTCCTCAACTATAGGGCTTTACTTTGTTGAGTCCCTCAAATATTAAAAATTACAAAATGATCATCTGATTATTCATATGTTCCAAAATTGTCTTTTTTGTTAAAAATGATAAAATTATGAGTTAGACTATGATAATCTTATGAGATTTTGAGATCAAATTTTATCATATTACAGTCAGTAGGTTAATTTCCAGCCCAGACTATCGTCAAATTTCTAAATAAAAGGGTAAATTTGGAACATATGAATATTCAGGTGACTATTTTATAACTTTTAATATTTGAGGGACTCAACAAAATAATACCATATAGTCAGAGAACAATTTTATAACTTTTATAGTCGAGACTCAATAAAGTAACAACTTATAAATGGAGACCATTTATATACTTAACCTTAAAAATATTTAGTGATTATTTTTTATAACTATAAAGTAGATTTTAATTTTTAAAATAATGAGAGAATTATTTAAAAATAATATTTTCAATTATATTGAATTTTATAATATATGAATTTATATTATATAAATTTGTGTTTTGTGATATCTAAATTTATAATAAGTTATTTGTTTTTATCCATAAGAAGATAAAAATTCAATTGAATAATTTTTAACCTTTTTATGTAATATTTATTCTTTTAAAGTATTTATTTATTTATTTATTTACTATTCATCTCAATAATATTATTTGGGAAATTTAATAAAACAACTTCTTTAAACATTAATTAAAGTAACCTGAAAAGCTCATAATTGGGAACTACAAATTTAATTCTACGAAGGATGAGCAGATATTTTTTTTTTTTGGATAAGTAATGAGCAAAGATTTGCCTACTGAAATGCGGCTTTTTTATTGTGATAACCTGAAAACTTCTAGTTTCTCATATTAGCTATGTAAGGGATGCCGGTGGCCGGCAACCAATTCTCCCGACTCAAAAGGAATGGTTGAGGTGCGAACGTCATGGCGGTGTTCCGATCGATCTTGTGATAACCTTTCCAGTTAACCCTCCGGACAAGGTTAGCGCCGGGGCCACGGTTGTTGTATTCGGCGTAGTAGAGGGTGTCTTCGAAAGCGCTTCCGGCCCACGGCGTCCATCCCTCGGGCCGAATCAAGTCGCCCAAGGTGGACTCCATGATCACGGTGGTTGAGAACTTCCTCCACGGCCTGCCCAAGTATGTCGGCAGCCTCAGCCTGTCGGGAAAAAACTTTTCCTCAGGTACGATCCGACAGTTTTGGATGACGAGACCGGTGTTCTCGTTTGGATCGCTCTTTCCTTGTGCCGTCACCGTGTTGGCTTGGTTCTCCAATGGCTTCCTCACGATGATCAACGAGTTCTGGATAACGGTGGGGGAGTCGCCGAAGATGAAGTCGATAGTACCGGAGATGACACAATTGCGGAAGAACTGACGGTTTGCTTGAACGTACAACGTGTCTTGGTACGCATCCATTCGGCAGTTGAAGAAGGCCGATTTATCGGATTGAATGCGAAGCGCCACCGCTTGGTGCTTTGCAGCTCCGGCGGTATTCTGAAACCCCATCGATCTCGCAACGAATCCGGTCCCGATAGCCGCTGCACCGATCAAATTCACTAAAATCATATTCTATTACAAATTTTTAATGAAATTTTGTCTGAAAACTTACAAAAAGTAGCAGTTTTCCAGGTTTGTACGCCGTCGACAAAATTCTTTCTGCCGGTAACAATGGTCCGTCTCGGGCCATCTCCGAACATAAGGATGTTGGTTAATGATTTGTCCAAGGTGATGTACTCGTCGTAGATTCCGGCCTTGACGTAGATCACATGACGAGCTGCTGAGTTCTTGGGAGCCGCCGCGAGAGCTGCGGCAATCGTCCTGAACTGCCCACTGCCATCTTTGGCCACAACGGCATCCGGTTTAATATTATTGTTATCGATCCTTGCAAAAAGCTTCCGGTCTACATCCGAGAACCACGACGGCAAGTAGCCATGTTTTTCGACAGAAAGAAGTTTACGAGAGCTTGGAACATTTAAGTGCAGGCCAAATTTAGCAAGAATCTCCGTCAATTTCGTCACGATCGCCAAGGCGTTGGACGTGAGTTGAGTAGCATCGGTAATGCCCTCCGTCATGTTCTTCTTCACCGAATGATCGTCTTCGAGGCCATCCAGACATGATTGTTGGTACGATATAACGGCGCTCAACCACGTCCGGAGATCGGACACCCGATCACTCATGTTGTGCAACTTAGCGTCGCCGACCTCCGAGTACGACGCCTGAAGCGACTGAACCGCATAGTCCATCATGTCCTTACAATCCTGCAATCCCATCCTCGTGCGGCTATCGTTCTTGACCGTGACGATCAACGAATTGGAATAATTGAAGAACTTCCTCACCGCATCCTCGGCGGCCAGGATAGACTTCATAATATACTCTTTGGGGTCGGTGCTGTTGACGGAGCCGAGGGTCTTCTGGCAGGAATCTTGGTGATCGGTAGATGAACAGAAATTCGAAACGGCCTTCATCGATGGGGACAAATCAGAACCTTCATGGCTCTTCTTATATTGAACCACGGCGACAACGCCGATGGCGACTCCGATCAGAAGAATGACGGAAACTGCCGAGATTATTATTTTGGCCGACATTGATCCGAAGGAGTTTATTAGAGATCTTGTTCTTTTATTTTTGTTACTTTACATGGCTGGTTTTTTTATAAGCCGAGTGGAGGACGTCTAAAATTAGGAATTCCTTTTTGCATGGGTATATAAATGGAAGACGTAAAAAGTCTGGTTTATCCCGTGTTTTACTCGTGGTTGTATTCATTTCCTGATTTCAGACAACGTTTAACTAGAGTTAGCTTTATTACACACGTGTTCGAAACTAACTGAAGCATGATATAATATAGGGTAAATTACGTTTAGTACCTATACTATTAATTTTGATCCGTTTTAGTACCTAAATTTAAAAAAAATATTAAATATGTAGTTTACCCTATTATATATTTTTAAAACCCTCCTTTACACGGATGAACAAGTGTTTGCTGAATTTAGGGGTGCATAATGTTGAGCAATTCGAATTTGATTTAGTTAAAATTTGGTAAAAATTAGACTCGGGCTAACTCGTTCGAATTCGTGATCGATTCGAGACCTTAACAAGTTGACTCGAGCAAAGTCCAACTGACTCGATAAATTCGCGAGCAACTCGTTAATTTTTTTGTATACTATTTTAGTAGTTATCTTAAAATATTTTATTAAAAATTATAATTTACTAATAAATAAAAAATGATAAATTGATAATCTATTAATTTTCTAATAAATAATAAAAATATTAAATTATTAATTAATATTTATTACTACAAAAAAATCAAACATATTTATTGTTTTAGTGTATTTATAGATTGTTACTTTGGAGTTAGACTTTGAAATTGTTTTATACACTCTTTTGATAATTTTTTTGATTAAATTTATTAATTTATGTTTATACAACAACAACAACAAAACCCAATTCTCATATGCAATGGGGTAAGGGGGAGGTAGGGTAGTAGGCTGCCCCCAACGCCCGGTTGAGAGGAGCTTCCGTGGAAGACCTCCGGCAGTCAGGAAATGAAAAATATAGATAAAAATGCAATGCATGTATAAATAAATACATAAATACATAGTTGAACAATATTCATATGTAGTCATTAATATCCTATGCGCGTCTTTAATGGGAAGTAATCCTTGCAAATAAAATCCTGCAAAAAAATTATTAATTTATGTTTATATTAGTATCAATAGGTTTTACTTATAGTTAATAAAATAGGGTAAAATTTTCGACGAGCTTAATGAATAACAAGTCGAGTCTAGCAATAAAAATTTTTAACGAATACGAATCGAGCACTGTCCAACTCGCGATTGACTAGCTGAATAAGTATTGTAGTGTTGATTCAAGACACCTTCATGAATATTGTCTAAATAAAAGGCAAATTTCGGTTTTTGTTTACTTTTAATTTTTTTTGTTACAATTTAATTTAATATTACTTTTCATGTATAACCATATAATTTATTGAAATTCATGTCATCTAATGTTGTAACGTGCTTGGAATAGAAAAATGTAGGTTGAGAATTAAACTAGTAGTTGTATTCAGGAACTGACACAATATTTTATGTTAAGGAGATAAATTTGAACTTATAAAATTTCATGAGGAAAATTTTGAATTTATAAACTTCTAGCATGAGAAAGCATATTTTCAATATAAATACATAAAAAATCTGAAATATATGATAATTTTAATATTTTAGATGACTACTGCCCCCTCCTAGGTCCATCCCTTGTTGTATTTATGGAGGGTGTATTGTTAATGATTTAAAAATTATAAATAAATATTATCTTATAATCATTCTAAATTATTTAAAATATATATAAATCATATCATTAAAATGAATGAATATTGAGGATTAAAATTAAAATTATATTAATTTAATTAATTAAAATAATAATAATAGTAAATTAATAAATTTATATACATTCATAAATCAGGTGTCATTCTTTAAAATTTTATTTTGTGACACTCTCCTCACAAACCTACATTTATAATTAGTTGATTTTATCTTTCTTACCAAACATGACTAAAGTAAAATTTTATATTAGGGGATGAACTTTAATTTATAAAATGTTAGGGGTGAATTTAAATTTATAAAATTTCATAGGGGTAAAAAATATTTTCAATAAAAAAATACATAAAAAAACTAAAATATAAGGTAATTTTAAAAATTCAGAGAGGCGACTACCCCACTTACCCCTCGGTCCATCCTTGTTACCAGATAAGGTGTTTAATGCAAAGTCAAATAATTAAAATTTTGTTATGATTTACTTTTCTCGATGCTATTTACCTCCTTCTTTGGAGCAAGGATCATGGGACATGCATTAAAATATTTAATAAATAAAAAAATTTATCTTCATAATAAATGTCACACCCAATCTTTCATTTCTTTTAATTTGAATTTTATTTAATAAATTTTATGGACCAATTTGCAAGTTTTTAAAGTTACAAGATATTTTTGAATTTCTATGAAAGTTGAATAACTTAAACGTGGATTTGACCCTTACCTAGCAGCAAAGAACAAAAAATGGGAAATAGGTACCTTTAGGTTATGGGAACCAATAATTCTTAAGCTTTTGATTGGGATTTTAAATTCCAAAAACTAATCCCCAATCAGAATCGAGCCTTGCCCAACCTAAATCCCTAAATTCAAAACCTTCTCCGTTTTGTTTCATCCACCGTCCAACCCATCTCCAACCACCGTGATCGACACTGCCACCACCATCGTGACCTCGTGACCAAAACCCCCAACCTTTCACTGTGTAGTCGCACTGTTAGCCGTAAAAGGACGTTCAAAGCTTTGGCGTAAACCCCCGACCACTGCATTGTTTTAAGCGATTTGACATCGATTTCGTCATTCGTTCACAACACCACCACCATCGTTGGACTCCCTAATGCCTCCCGACAAAAACGCAACCGGTGGGTTGCTCCGAAGTCATCGTTTTCTCCATGGGTAAGCCTCTATTCTATTTTTTTTTTGGTTATTTCGTCGAGCTTTGGGTTGATATTTGGTTGGTAATAGTGTTAAATCGATGATTGAAGACTTGGGGAGTAATCGATCGTTGTCCCCATTGTTTTTGCCCCCTGCACGCGTTGCCGGTGCACGTGGGCTTCGTCTCCAACAGTTGAATCATCTAGAACCAGTCTAATTGGATCGAATCGAGTTGAACCGGTCTGATTAGACCAAACCCGATTGAAATCGAACCGGCCCGTTGAGTCAACTTGTTGAATCTACTTGCTGAGTCAACTTGCATTGGTTTGATCTGTTTATTTTGACCGGAGTTGATTTTGACTTTGATCAAAAGGTTAAAATTTTCAACAAAAAAAAAAATTTTGCGTACTGAGTTCGAATTCAAAGTCCGTTTTATCAAATTCTAACTCAAAAGTCCTCAAATCGAGTGTTAAACTCCTCAATTGATCATGGAATATATAAGACCGCAAAATACTTTCCATAATCACTCCCTTTTACAAGCAATGGTAAGGAGCAACGAAAAGAACATATCAAAAAAATTGCAGCATTTTTCTTTTCATGCAACATTTACGGTTCATGGTAATATGTTTGAATAAAAAATAGGATAAATTATGAGTTTAGTACCTAAACTTTTATTTTTTTTCAAAATCATATTTAAAGTTTAGTTTTTGTTTAATTTTAGTATCTTTTTCAAAATTTAAGATTAATTTTTGAAAAAAAATTAAAAGTTTAGGTATTAAATGAGTTAAGTTTTTAACGGTGGGGTATTAAAATGAAAAAAAATTAAACGTTTGGTATGATTTTGAAAAATTTAAAAGTTTAGATGCTAAATGCCTAATATACCCTAAAAACTAGAGCCAGTTACCTTGTCCTGGCCACCAACATCCCAAACAGTAATGCTGATGTTCTTGTATTCTACGGTTTCAACATTGAAGCCTACGAGATTATAATATCATCAATTTGAAACAAAATTCAAATGAATCAAAAGATGTTACAACTTCATGAGACCAATACAAAGGGTACTTACCGATGGTGGGAATAGGAGACGATCTCTCCTAGCTTGAGCTTGTAAAGAATGGTGGTTTTACCAGCAGCATCACCTATTCCAAATTCCGTCGAGATTCCGGTGACGGGCGTCAGTGGGATTTGGGGTGAAGAAGATAAAGGATTTAGGATTATGGATATTATTTTATTATTTATTTTAATTTATATTTATATTAAATAATAAAAAAGTCACATGAATAATAATAATAATAAAAAATAATTCAGAATGTCCAAAATAAGAGTAATTTAAAAATTCAATGAGTAAATTAAAAAATTTAAAAATATAATGAATGAAATAAGAGAAAAAAATAAAATTCGCCGATGAATGATGTAGTTTACCCATTAAATAAATATTTATGGGTTTAAAATCTCAAAGTAAGGGCCCAATACTCCATTAATTTAGGGCTGCTAATTTTCTGGGATAACACTATTCAACAAGTTTTGTTTCCTATATGAACTTATCCACCCTCTTTTAAGCACAAGGAAGGTTCAACTAAAGCTATACTAAGGAACAATAATCTTGTTGATTGTTCAATTATTTTTGTTATATCCATTCTGAAATACTTTGAAAATAACTCATCATTCATGTCTACGCATGTATTAGAATAAATGGATGCAAAAATAAATGCTATAATTATTGTCCTCAATTGCTCACTTTCGAAATTTACATGAACTAAATTATTCTGTTTATTTTGAGAGGGGTCTCGGAGAGGTTTTTACCAAATAAAAAAGACTTAACAAATGGAGGCTTCCACATGCATAGCACATTCAATTTTCTCATTTTGGCAAATACAAGCACAAACATGGAGAAGCTGATGCTTATTCTCCATTACACCCCAAATATCATGGAGTAGTTGATGCTTACCTCTGTATATAAATATATATACAGTGGCAGAATCCAATTACACTCTATAAAACTCTTTTAATTTTACACTTTTTTAAGATCATTGGTAAGAGAAATCCAAGGCTGAGATGAAAGTAGGATATAAGAATATATTTACCGAAAAAATAAGTTAATCTTATCCTTTGATTTCCGTCAATCCAGCCGTCTAAAAAGGTGTAAAACTCTTAGTTTTACAATGGGTTTATATATGAGGTTATAATCCACTTACACAATGTAAAATT